GTTGTTCCACGGGGACGCCCACTAAGCACGGGCACCGACCAGCTGCTGCAGATCCTGGCAGCCCTGACCTGTCGGTGTGGGTAAGCAGAGTTTTTCTTTAATAGGAAACAACCATGAAAGCAATGTTTTATATCTTTTTCTCGTACCCCTTTAACTCCTTTTTTTACTAGTTAATACTGTATTAAAAACTGTTCATAGTATTGTATGAATGCCAACTGATAAAGTAGTTTTTTTTATTCTTTTCTGGCTTCTGATTCTCTTTTTTAAGTTTTTCTTATCCTTACTGCAATAAAAGTGGGTTTTGGGTTGTTGGTTTTTTTTTTTTTTAGTGTTTGAATGTCTGTTGTACTTGTCTTTATTCCAGGTAAATATTCAAACGAACTAATACTTCACATTCCACAGTTCTTTTGCCACCTGTAACCAGTGACTCTGAGTTCCTGCTTCCCCAGCCCCAGGGATAGACTCCTTGTCTGCTCATTCCTCCACACTCTCTTCTCAGTGTTGGCATCTTAAAGAGACAAGCCCCTGGGAATAATTTACTTGTAAGTCTTCAATTCTTTTGTGGTTAATTAGACAGATCTCAGAAGTGCATTCAAAGTGAATATCTTGTATTAATAAAACCATGAGAAAAGATGTCTTCTTTGTGTCCTGTTTACTTTTTTCCTGTTTTTACATTGATATCAGCAATCCCTGGTCGATATTGATCCCAAGCACCTCCTAATTCAGTCTGAAGAGATACAAAAGTCAAGACCTTTTATGTCTGAGAATCCATCAGACTTTATCCCTATCCCCACCCCACCATTCCTTCATCAAACCCCTGGGACTCAAAGCAGCCTTGGGCAAATCTCAACTTCCTCCACTCAAGGTTGGGCGTGCAGGTTTCAGCTCCTTGGCACCAACTCCCACCTGCTTGGCTTGGAGAAAGAGCTGCCCAAGACACAGAGGGATGTTCATTTACTGCCAGCAAACAAAACCAAAGGATGGCAACAACTGAATAAAAAAAGAAATCCTTAATCCTCTGCTGTATATTAAGTCCACATTGCCTCCACTGAAGTCCACGTTCTGCAGTAGATAGTCTTAGACCAATGGCAAACACCTTCTGTGTCAAGCACAGATCCCAAGATCCCCCAAACACTCCCTGCCCTGGATTCTGTCCATATTTGCCCTTTGCACACAGTGAGTCACACACTGAAGTCACAAGTTCCCTCAATCCACAGAGGGAAGAAAAGACAGAATGTGAATGAATTCGTGTGTTGTGCAGAGCTAAATCTGCACTCATCCCAATATTCTGGGCTTACTGGACCTTTATCAAACACATTCTGCAGCATCTGTTCACTGGGCAAACATCTGTGTGGATGGCCAGGTCCAAGGAGTGGTGGGCAATGGAGTTCCATCCAGTGGTGTTCCCAGGGCTCAGCACTGGGCTCAGGGCACTTCAATCTCTTTCTCAATGATCTGCACAAGGGGATGGAGTGCAGCCTCAGGCAGTTCCCAGGGTACACCAAGCTGGGGGGGAGTGTTGATGTGCTGGAGGGCAGGAAGGCTCTGCAGAGGGATCTGGACAGGCTGGATCCATGGGCCCAGGCCACTTGGAGGAGGTTCAACAAGACCAAGTGCCGGGTCCTGCCCTGGGCTCACAACCACCCCAAAGCCTGACCACGCCCTGCAACTGGTCCCTGCAGCCTGTTCTGTGTCCTTCATTCCTCCATTTCCAAGGACTTTGTGGGCCAAGGGAGCTCTGTGCTCTGGGTATGGAGGGAGCTCCAAGTGCCACTGGAGTGGGAACCACAACTCATCAGGTTTGTGTTCTTTGGGAGGTCTGGAACTGGTGACACTTAGAGCCACAGAAAGTTTCTCTTCATTGCCCAAAAACAAAAAGTAAACTCAATACAATTTATAAACATCCCAACTCTTTCCTCAGTTTTCCTCAGTCACAGTGACCAGGAGAACGCACGTCCTTGATGTCCTGGTGCCACAGCCCAGGGTGCTCCTGGCCTCCCTTGCCAGGGCACACGGCTGCCTGCTGCCCAGCTCCCTGCCCACCCACAGCTTCTGACAGGGCTGCTCCCAGCCAGGCAGCTCCAGCCTGTGCCATGGCCAGGCTGAGTGCCCTGCAGGGGCAGACACTGCCATTTGTCCCTCAGGGATTTCAGTAGTTTCCTGCCCAGACGTGTTCTCCTCCTCCCTGAAGCCCTTCCCTGAGCCCAGAGGCCTGAGAGACCTTTCCAGGAAAGACTCAGGCAGAGAAGCCATGGAGTCCCTCAGCATCACATCAGTGTCTGCTGCAATTAAACCCCCCTCCCCATTGCACAGCAGCCCTGCATTTCCCTCCTGCAGCCTTGGTGTCCAACACAGCCCTTGAGGCTCTTTGGGCTCTGGACTTTTCCTGCTGCTCCCAACTGCAGGGGAGCTTTGCCTTTCCCACAGTGCCCCTGCACAGCCCAGGCCATGCCCAGCAATCCCTTGTCTGTCCCTGGCCTTGCTGTCACTCCCTGGCAGCAGCTCCATGGCCCCTTTGTGCCCCGCTGCCTCCAAGCTGGTCCCACAGCCCCCTGGGCAGGCCCAGCCCAGCACAGGAGCACTCAGGGTGGGGAAGGGCCCCTCTGACGGGATGCCCAGGGCAGTCCTTGGCCTTGGGCACCCAGGGCCTTCCTGTTCAGCCCCTCTCCAAGCTCCTGGACAGGCCGTGTCCCCTGTGGGGCCTCACAGACAGCCCTGCTCCAGGCTCTGCCAGGCTCTGGGCCAGCAGAGAGGCCGGGCAGGGCTGACCACGGCCCTGGCACAGGCCCTGAGCCCAGCAGGAGGATGGAGGGGGGCACAGCAAAACTCACCCCTAACCCTGGATTGAGCAGCCAGTGCTGGCAATGGCTGGGGAGAGAGGCTGGGGGGGAAAACTGTCCTGGGCCACCTTCCTGCTCTGTTCGTGCCACCAAGGGCACAGAGCAGCCTCCTCTCACTGGAACTTGCATGTTTTCAATGCCTTCCACAGGCCCTGGCTCTGCACCACAACCCCCCTGGGCTGAGTCCTCCCCCTGCACGGTCACACAGTGTCAGATACTGTAACAGTTTGTTGGGATACATGCCCGGAATAAAGACAAGTACAACAGACATTCAAACACACAAAATATCTTTTATTACAGTGAGAGTAATAAAAATAATAATCTTAGTAAAGAGAATCAAAAAACTAAAAAGAATACAAAATAACTACCTTATCGGGTGGCATTAAAACAAATACTGTGAACAGCATTTAATATAGTATTATCTAGTAAAAAGGGAGTTAAAGAGATACCAAAAAAGGATCTTAACACAATATTACGGATAACTATTAACATGATACTGGTTAGTAAAAAAGGAAATTAAAGAGAAATACAACAGACAGCTTATTTATGTAACAATATTAATCAATAAAAGGAGAATTAAAGGGACACTAAAAGGATATTAAAAAATTTGCTTTCTCGGTTGCTTCCTATCAATAAACTGTGCTTACCCACACAGACAGGCCAGGGCTGCCAGGATCTGCAGCAGCTGGTCAGTGCCCGTGCTTAGCGGGCGTCCCCATGGAACAGCACAGTCTCCATGGCAGGATGAGGATCACTCACCCCAGCAGTCCTGACACCCCATTTTATCAGCTCCACATTACACCACGTAGGGCCAGTACCCAATATAAGGTGATGCCTGAGTGGCAGCCAAACCCCGCCTGTTCATCAGCTGATAGCAGCAGTCTGTGCATGCCCTGCTGCAGGGCAAGGGGCGAGCGACCCCTGCCCACATAATCTTCCATCATCTTTCTCACCCCTATGTATGACCTCTACAATTGTGTTTCAAGGGTAGATGTATCCATCTTGCAGTATGTAGCAAAACCAAGGAAGAACTCAGCTCTGATAACAGGGGATATCAAGGTGACTTGCTAAAAAGCACATTGTACAATACTCTGGCTGGTTTCACATCATAATATAATTTCTTTCTTATGCCTCTATGCTCCATTGATCATCTAATTCAAAATATCTCCCTTACAGGCCTTATGGCCCCAAAGGGACCCTGTTACACAGAGGATCCTCATGGAACAAAAGGAACACTGGGACACTGCAAAACCTTGTGGAATCAAGAGGCCATTAGGACAATGCAGGGCCTCATGGAACCAAGGGGCCATTGGGGCACTACAAAGCCTCATTGAAGCCAAGGAATTCTGAGACTGTGCATCCTCATGGAACCAAGGGGGCACTGGGATATGCAGGGCCTCATGGAACTGAAGGATTCCTGAGACAGTTTGGAACTCCATGGAATCAAGGGGCCATTGGGACATGTGGGGCCTCCTGGAAGCAAAGGAACCCTGAGAGTTTTTGTGGAAACAAGTTAAGGCAGCTGCATTCAGTTAATCAGGATCAACAAGGAGTGCTTTGGCCTTGACTGGTGTTTTCCATCAAGAGAGTGCTGTTTGCCAAGTGGAAACCACTTGGAACGCTCTGCATGGCAGCCTGTGTTTTTCTCTGGTGGTTGAACACAGCCAGCACATGAGGCAAGGGGAATGTGTGGGATTCAGGGCACTGCTTTAGGGCGATCCTGGGATTTCCGGTGGACTGAAAGACAAACACCGGGTGCTGCTCACAAGAGAAGAGGAATAAAAGGGGACACTGAAAAGTGTCGGCGGACAAGTCCTAAAATAGAACTCTGTGTGCAGCCTCATTTTCTCCTTCAGCACCCACAGGAGAGGGGGCAAAAAGTGGGGGTTGGGACCCCAAAACTCTTCGGGGGAGAAACTGGGGATTGAGGGGACCATGAAAAAGTGGAAGGAACAGGGAGAAGGGTGGAAAAGGAAGGGTGGTCTGGTGGGTCAGATGGTCCCATGGGGGTCTTTGGGCACAAGGGGGTTGGGAAAGGGGGGTGGCCCCCCTGAGCTCCCAACTTACTGGGGGGTGCTGGGGGCTGCTGGATCCAACCTCAGCCTTGGATTATGCCAACAGTTTCAGTTTAGAGGAATTACAGAGGTGTGACTGAACCACTTTTGTCCCCCAGGTTTTAATGATGGCAAATCAGATCTACTGATAGAAAGGAATTATTTAGGGCACCAAATAATCAGACAAAAGATCTTCATCAGAATTACTTACTGCACAGTATAAACACTAAAACTACCAGGAGTACAGGATAAGATAGAGCGATGATCTACCCTAAAGCAATCGTTGAAGCAATTCTACTAAAGCTGGCACAAAAGCAATTCTTAATTACAAATGGATGTAACTCCCTCAGACCAACGCTCATGGGAGATCTCTGTTCTCAACCTCCAGGAGTGACCTTGAGGGGTCCCCAGCCAAGGCAGGAACCTCCACACCCCTTCAAGAAGGGTTCTGTTGGAAGAACCTGTCCCTGTGAAAGGGGACTGGCCCTTTGTGGTCGAAAGGGATGGACTGACAGTCATTGGACTCCAGGGGTTGCCTCAGTATCAGGGGGTTCATTCAGGGTGGAAGCAGTGGCCAAAGCATTTCCCGCAGTCAGGGCACTAATAGGGCTTCCTTACTGGTGGGTCTGTTGGTGTCTGGTCAAGCGAGACCTCTGGATGTAGCTCTTCCCGCACTCCCCACACTTGTAGGGCCTCTCCTCGGCGTGGATGCGCTGCCGGTGGGTTACAAGGTGGGAGTTGCGTTTGAACTCCTTCCCGCAGTCAGTGCAGCGGAAGGGCCTCTCATCTGTGTGCGTCCGCTCATGCTCGAGGAGAATTGAGCTGGTCTGAAACCTGTCCCCACATTGCCAGCACTTGTAGGGCCGTTCCACAGTGTGGTTGGGGAGGTGGGAGCGCTGGTGGGCGTGGAGGTGGGAGCTGTTGGTGAAGCTCTTCCCACACTCCCCACATGAGTAGGGCCTCTCCCCAGTGTGGATGCGTTCGTGGATGTGGAGGCTGGAGCTGTCAGTGAAGCTCTTTCCACATTCCCCACACGTGTAAGGTCGCTCTCCGGTGTGGATGCGCTGGTGTTTGCGGAGGTTGCCACTGTTCCTGAAGCTCTTCCCACATTCCCCACATGTGTAGGGACATTCCCCAGTGTGGATGCGCTCGTGGGTGAGAAGGTTGGACCTCTGGTTAAAGCTCTTCCCACATTCCCTACACGAGTAGGGCAGGTCGCCCGTGTGGATACGCTGGTGGGTGAGGAGGTTGCCACTGTTACTGAAGCTCTTCCCACATTCCCCACATGTGTAGGGTCGTTCCCCGGTGTGGATGCGACGGTGGGTGCAGAGGGTGGAGCTCTTCCTGAAGCTCATCCCACACTCCCCACACGTGTAGGGCAGTTCCCCAGTGTGGATGTGCTGGTGGGTGAGGAGGTTGGAGCTCTGACTGAAGCTCTTCCCACATTCCAAGCATTTGAAGGGCTTCTCCCTGCTGGGAGGCTGCTCAGGGACCACCAGGTTGGAGCTCTGGCTCAAGCTCCGGCCGCCTTCCCGGCACGGGCTGAGTCTTTCCTCCTGGGAGCACCCTGAGCCGGCTTTGGAGCCCCTCCTCTGGGGAGATATCCTGGCTTTTTCCTCCTCACTGCCTTCCTGCACCGTGGAGCCCTTCAAAACGGCCTCTCCCACCAAGGTCTCACAGGGGGATTTGTCCTCCGCGCTCTCCGTCCTCAGCTCGGGGCCTGGGGCAGGAAGCAAGAAGGACAGGGAGGGGATTTGCCTCCGGCCCACAGGGAAGGCCAAGAACGTGCCCCCAACTCTGGCCCCAGCAGGACAGCAGTGGCAGTGGTGTTGTCCTGCAGCCGGGGCCATGCTCGGCTGACAGAGCCAGCACAAGACCAGGGGAAAGGGGCACTGACTTCCTCCTCACCTGCCTGGGGTCCGCGCAGCATCTTCCTCTTCCCCACAGCCTCCTCCTCCATCTGCCCAAACTCTGGGAAGGAGAAATCCTGATGGGGGGAAAACAAGGGCTGAGTGTGTTGGCTTGGGGGTTCCTCCTGCCCAAGTCCATCTCTAGAACTCACCGGGCATCCTGTGCCCATAAAAACCTCCAAAACACCAAGATTCAACCCAGAAAAACCCAAAGCACTGAGATTCAGGGGAAAACCCCCTCAGAAATAGGAAGAAGACCCCCACACCCTCAAACTGCAAAAATTTGAGATTCAGATGAAATACACTCCAAAATATGAAGATTAGTCAAAAAAAATCTCTCTCAGAAGTTCCCCCTCTCTGGTCTCTCCCCTCTGGAGTTCGGAGGGTCTCTCCTGTCTGGGATGCTGGGGGTCCCACTTAGGGATGCTGGGAGTGTTGGGGGTCCCAAGGGTCCCTCTCCTCTGACTCTCGCCTTCGGGGTGCCGCATTCCCAGACATTCCCCCTCTCCAGGTTCTCGACTTCATTGTCCTGGGGATCCCAGGAGGCCCCACTGTCCAGGCTTCCCCTTCTCTCTGGCTCCCAGGGCTCCTCCCTCTCCGTGCTCCCCGCTCCAGGCTGCAGGGGATCCCCCAGCTCCAGCATCGCCCCGCTCTACCCTCCACACTCGACAGCTCCCAGGCTCCACACCCACCCCCAGCACTCCCAGGGGGCCCCAAAACCGCTGTGTCCCTCCTGCCGACACCAGGCTGACAATGGAGCTGGCGGGGTCTGACCCAGCAACACCAACCACCACTGCAGGGGGGGACCCGCATCCCCCCGCCCACCACAGGGGCTCTGCCCCCAACCCAGCCCAGCACCCCCAAAAAACACCTCCCACCCACCCCCAAGAGCCCCCAGGGGCACAGCCTTGCACAGGGGCCGGCTGTGCCCAAGGCAACCAAACAGCCCCACAGGTGGGGGGACACCACAGGCTGCCCCAGGGCAATGAGAGCAGGGAGCGGATCAGGCCCCCTGACGTGGGCGGACTCTGGGTTCAGCCTGACCAGGGGCAATTTGGCATCAACAGCATGGCCCCAACTGCTGGCTTGGCATAGGGGGCTCGAGCTCCCCCCTCTCCAGGCTCTGGGGGCTCTCGCAGCTTCCCCCTCTCTGCAGCCTCGCCCGCTCTTCAGGCATCAAGGCATGGGCACATGGAAGGACCCCCACGGCAACCCCGCTCCCACTGTCTCCCACTCCTGTTACACCCCTCTCCCACTCCTTTCCCACTGGCTCTCAAAACCTCAGCTCTCCCCAGCTCCTTTTGGGGGTGACTCACCGCCCCTCACGCTCCCTTTGGGGTCCCACCCACTCTTTTCGCTTCTCTCACCCCTTTCCCATCCTGGCTGCTCCGCTCACCTGGCAGCAGCAGGAAGGGCAGGGACAGGGGCGGAGCAGCAACAGCAGGAGAACAATCGCACCCCCATCCCGCGGGTGCCTGGGAAGGGGGAACTCATCCCAAATATCCTGGGGGGAGCGTGGGGGGTCAGGACATACTCGGGCTGCCAGCACAGATTTCCCTGCAAAGTCTGCAGGGAGTCAAGCTCTGGAGAGGAGATTGTGCCACATGGATGGGATTGCAGAGGCTCCCTCAGGTCCCCAGCAGGAATCAGCAACCAGGAATAGACACAAAAGGCCCCCCCAAAGATTTCGGGGGGAGTGTCCTGTAGGGAGGGGACAGTGTCACCCCACCAGGGTGGGGCTGGCAAGTGGGAGGCTGCTCCAGGGGTCTGCAAGAGGCCTCGTGCTCTGCTGGGCCCCAGCACTGGCTGGTACCAACACCCCCGGCTGCCCCCGGCCCTGGGCAGCTCTGCTGCCACAGGCTGTGCCCTCACCGTGGCCCTGCAATGGCCCTGCCTGTCCCTCACCCATGGCCCTGTCCCTTGGCTCTCTCTCTGCCAGCTCAGTGTGGGGCACACGGGATGGGGGTCCCTCCCAAGCCCCCCGGGCAGCCGGCGTTGGCTGGGGGGATGTGAGGGCTGGGCCTGCTCAGCACAGCCCCGGCCTCGTGCCCAGCGCCTCTTTCCTGACCCACACAAGAGCTTCCCGGCCCCCCCAGGGCTCCCCTGCTGCTGCCTCTGCTCCTGGCCCTGCCTTTGCTGCTCCCTTGGCTGGGGCAGCGGCTGCAGGGGGGGATGGCAGCAGCTTCAGCTCCACAGCACTTCCTGGGGGGAGCTCAGCCCGGGGGGGACGGGCAGGGACCTGATGGGGATGGACAGGGGCCCAGCAGGGACAGCCAGGGCCTGCAGGGGAAGGCACAGGGACAACCTGGCCCCCCACACTGCCAGGGCTGTCTCTGCTCCTCCTTGCAGGCTCCGTGGCCAGGCACAGTTTGTGTTCCTGGGTGCCCACCATCTCAGCACTTGCAGCCGCTCAAATCAGCGCCTGCAGCTCTGCAGCAAAGCCCCAACTCACCTGGCACACAGGGGATGGACACAGCACCTTCTCGGGGATGGGTAATCACAGCTCTGTCTCTTCCCCACCACGGGGCTCTCCTTCC